GTCCCTTTCTAGTATACTGTGACAACAGAAGTGCTATTGATATCTCTAAGAATCCAGTCCAGCACTCAAGGACGAAGCACATTGACATCAGGCACCACTTCATTAGAGAATTAGTTGAAGACAACCAGGTAGTAATCGAACATGTAGTTACTGATATGCAATTGGCTGATATCTTCACTAAATCACTTGAACTTAATCGCTTTATTAAATTAAGAAATGCTATTGGTGTGTGTAACCTTGACTGATTGAGTTAGGTGGTGCAGAGATTAGTACAAGTACAGGTTCAGGGTGTACATACGATTCAGATTTTGTTTGGAACCTGAGAACGCTGTGGAAAAGAGCTGCTTGGCTTGCCGTCAACTCTGTAAGGTACAGGTTTTGTGTCAATCTGTGGCTCTCTTACCCCCAAAAGAAAGGGAAGCAGCTAGCAAAGCTCAAAAAGAAAGCAGCTGAACAACAACATGTGTTACAATGTAAAGTATTTCATCACGGGAGTTTCACAGCGCACGAATAAAGGTTGAAAACCTACAGAGTTGATGAAGGCATGACAATGTGAAAACTAGCCATAAAAGACAATTGGGTAGGCCAGACCATCATAATCTAGAAGATTCGTATGTGCACACTGAGTCAGGTTCTGAGCTATCTTCTGCCGCACATCAGAAACCTAAACCGGTACTTAATCTTATTCTGTTTAGGATTCAGCCAATTATGCATGGTAACTCATTCTAGATTGCTATTCTGAGTGTCTAATGATACACTGTTAATTCACGAATGTGCCTGAGGCTAATGTGTTTGGATGTGAGAGGTTACTAATGTTGTAGGTATAATTGTGAGAGGAGTAAAAGTCAGGGACCAGAAGTGCAAAACTTAATGACGGTTGTTTCACCTAAGGAAAGTCGTGGGGCACAACCCTAGAAAATCTCCATCGTGCTTCAGAAGCTTATAACCATCGCCTCCACCTCCAATTTCTCTTCACTACACAGAATCCAAATCAAGATGGGCAAACCTACGAACTCTGCTCCAGCTACCTCGAGTTCCAAGATCGACGATCATGCAACAGCTGAATCACACCGGATGCAACTCTCTGATGGTCCGCCTGAGCCTACTCCTCCGTTGAACGAGTTACCGATCTCGACAACTCTCCCTGAAGTCACTGAAGAAATTGCTTCGTTTAATACAGCTCAGGAGAAGTCTGGATCCGATGGTAGCGGGGAAAATCAGGGCACTTCAGTGGCTGTAGCAGATCCACCTCAGGATGCTGCGGAGCTTGTGCATGTTCCCACTGATGTGAATCTGGTCTTACCAGTCGAAGGTGAGCAAGGTACTTCGACAAATAAACCCGAGACGCATGCAGATCTGAAGGGAAGTGATGAGTCACCTCTCCAAATTGTGGCATTGCACAAAGACACAANGAAAATCAGGGCACTTCAGTGGCTGTAGCAGATCCACCTCAGGATGCTGCGGAGCTTGTGCATGTTCCCACTGATGTGAATCTGGTCTTACCAGTCGAAGGTGAGCAAGGTACTTCGACAAATAAACCCGAGACGCATGCAGATCTGAAGGGAAGTGATGAGTCACCTCTCCAAATTGTGGCATTGCACAAAGACACAACCCTGGTCCAAGCAAACGATCCAAGTGAAGCGGCGTCTGAGTCAAGTAAGCACATTGAGGAGACCACTAAGGACCACGATGCTATCTCTTTGGGCTCCTCCTCTGAAGACATATCTGAGAAATCTACCAGGAAGAAGCGTGTCCTGCAGCGTCTAGGTTTGCGGTCATCTAAGAAGCAGAAGAAGGATGAGTCTGCTGTGTCACCGTCTGTACCACAGGGAGCATCTGGCTCATCTCGGAGTAAATCCAAAAGGAGTGTTGGGTCAGGCTCTGCACTTATTCCTGGGGAAGCCAAGCAAAGGTATGATGCATTTCTGAAGCGTAAGGTAATTGCTGAGAGGTTAGTAGATATGGAGGACACGGATCAATGGGGCTATCTTGCAGTAATTCTAAAAGGGTCTATGGAATCTACTGTCTCATCGCTTGGGGTATTTGTTGAGCAAGTTGTGGCTGAGTTTTATGCAGGGTTACCGGCTACCAAAGTAGAGACTGAAGAGGTCATGGTCAATGTTCGCTCTCATTCCTATAGATTCTCTCCAACAGTGATCAATGAGTCTTTTGGTCTTGAGTCACTTACTGAGGAAGAAGCGGACATTGAGGCAACCATGGATGAAGTGTCTGCCACTGCACTTGCAGACTTTCTCACTGATGGGACTCGCAAGGAATGGGATCATCTCACCACTGCTGACCTCACACCGTGTTTTGGAGCTCTTATGATCATTGCTGCTCACAACTGGATTCCATCAACTCATAAGAC